AATTGAAAAAAATTTTTACTGTAACTTTGGAACACATTTCCTTTTTTAAAAGTTTATCACAGGATTACTATGGAAGTTCTATTATCATGATTATATTAAATTCTTGGTTTAACAAAACAAAGGTGTCATTTTTAAATTTATTAAGTTGTTTTATATGCTATTTTATATATATTTTAATAAAAAAAATGTTCACTGCATTATTAACTAAACTCAACTGACACCATAAATCTATATGAGGCTTAAGTTAATGGTGAAAATTGTCAAGTAGCCATAAAATATATCTGAAACATTCAAACAATTTTGAATAACATAGAAAATATTAGTCACAATTCAGTTTTGAGATTATTTGATCAGCTTGTTTTATTTTTATTTTAAAGGTGATATATATGTATGTATATAAGTGTTGATGAATATGGTGATGAAGTTATATTATGTTTATTGTGAAAGTTTGGTTTCAATGCTATATTGAATACATTTTTAATTTCAAATTGTTGTTCAAATTTCTAGCCAGGGGAAAAAGCTGTTGTTAAAAACAGTTCCTAAATTGATGAAATACAATAGATAGATACAAAAAATAGGTCTAGGTTTGTTAAGACTTGGTCGAGTATGGTTCAGACTAGGTCGAGTATGGTTCAGACTAGGTCGAGCATGGTTCAGACTAGGTCGAGCATGGTTCAGACGCGTATAAAATGATTAAGTACTGGTCGAGTACAAGTTCAAACTGTTAAGTATGGTTCAGACTACAGTCGAGTATTATCAAGTAAATTTCAGACCAATTCAGACTGGTCGAGTAAAAATCAGTACAGTCGAGTACAGATATAGGCCATTTCAGACTTTTACTGGTTTGTAGTGATAACTGTAAATACATACAAATACATATAAAATCTTGAAAAGGGGGAGAATACCAAAATACAATATTCATTACACATGCATTAATCATAAATAAACAAATCAACCGTAGCCACCGTTAGTTCAGGCACAACGAAGTACATATACCCAAGGATTTGTGTTGAAGATAAAAGGGAAAGATTACGAGATGTCAACATTTGGGACATTGCAAATGTGTGTACCCAAGGAGAAGGAAGATGCATAGAATTGATGTTTACTAGAGGTAGGTTAATTCTTTTAAACACATAAATTTATATTGCATATGATGTGTGTAGTCTTTACAAGTTAAGTTAATATTTCTACCTTTTTTAATCAATTACATGTATTACTTCTGTCTTCAGAGTTTTGTAATTTACTGAAACCTTTAATTTTGTCAGAATTTTGATCCTGAGCGTACCTGATGAATGTCATGAAGGGTATTAAAAAAAAAAACAAAAATAAAAAAAAAAAAAAACAAACAAAACAACGTGTTGTACGCACGGAAGGTATATATTCGTAATCACCACCAAAAGAAACAACAATAAAATAATTAGAAAATTCCACTCACGGTCAAATTCACCTGTAGTTTCTTAATAATTTCTAAATTTATAAGCGAAGAATTTAAGATAAGGTATGCTATAAATGCCATGTCAGTATTGTACCGAAGCACTGACTACTGAGCTGAAGAAACTCTCGGGGACTGGCTGTCCACCAGCAGCCCGCCCAATAAAGATTATTCCAGAAAACGTGATGTTCCAACGCATATTATAGCAGACTCTTTCTATAGACACATTTTGGTATCGTGCTTACTGGAAGAAAAGGTAATATCGTAGGGCAATACAAAGTCATAAATTGAAGAAAAAATAGGAAAAGACGAACATCGCTTCTCAAAACAATACGCACAATGTAATAAAAATGTCTAAATCGAACATAAATCCATGTAAAATAACGCTTTTACTGAAGGATTACGTTCCGTCTTACGTTATAGTATTAAGGTAAATAGTCATGTTGAAGGTTCTTTCTATGAGGACAATTGTTATGGCACCGCCACAAAGTGGTCGTGATCATATAGTTTTACCTTTATCCTCTATTAAGTTATTCCGCAACGAACAGTTAAACGACTTATTTTCTAAACGCCTTCAAATATTGGGCTGATTTTTAGTATGTGAGTCTACTATGATGAGTTACAAAATTACTTTACGTTTGGTTCCGCTCCGCTGTTTTTGGCCGAAAGAACAGGCTTTTGACTGTGAAAAATTTCGTGTAAAATAACAGTTTTACAGACCTTTTGAAAATTACTGTGACACTGAGATTTCAAAAAGGACACACTGAGATAAAATAAAATGAAAAAACACACACTGAGAATTTGAAATTACACACTGAGAATTTCAAAATTACACATTGAGATTTGCGCACATATCTAATTAGCAAACTTAATCTGAATCTATTACAAGCTTTTAAAAACAACTAGGGGACAAAACTCGTTAGTCCTTCAATTTGGCGCCAAATGTTTTACGAAAAACATTAGAAATACAACGTTTTGAAAAACAACGTTATTAAAGACCAATAGAAGAAGAAAAAAAACCACTTACTCTCATTACAAAATATAACCAAATGGATAAAACTTTAATAAAATTATAAGAAAACATTAGAACAATCTGTAAAAAGTCAAACAATGCAGTGAAATGTTTACCCAAGTGCCACAGTATTAAAGCATATAAACGTAACAAAAATATCAAAGATTACCTTGCGAAATTAGGGCAACAGTTGAAAGACTTTTGAGAAGGGACCCATGCTTAAACGGTTTTAAGTAAAAACCCCGATACACTGTTAGTAATAATCTGAATTATAGGATATGAGTATGCAAAAAACGATGTTTAGTCTTGAAATTTATTACGAATGTTGGATGAAGGAACCGCATTTCATTTAAATGCGCTCCGCCTGGATCAGCTGGATACGACCGCAGCGGTCGAACTCTAAACAGTTGGGGCAAGTATGGACATAAAATTCAAGTTTGATACAGCTCTGAATTTGGATAGTGATTAAATACTTGACACATTATAGATTTCTGACACAGAATAAATAATCTACTTAATGGTCCAATATCTAAAATCTAATTCCATGATGAGATTAAGCATATAAAAAAACCCATGAATTCAAACAAAGTTTAATTTTGGACCCTTTGGACCTTAATATGGACTAATTTGAAAACAGGGCCCAAAATAAAAAAATTGAATGCACAGTTAGAATCAGCATATCTTAGAACTACAAGAATTCAGTTTTTGATGAAACCAAACAAAGGCTTAATTTGGACCCTTTGGACCTCAATATAGACCTATTTAAAAATGTCCAAATATCCAATATAGTAATACATGGTAAAAACCTCAAACAATTCAAGACTTTAAATTAATCCTCATTGAAATTGGTTAAAAGATTTGTATTTATTTTCAATTGAAGATTTCTTGCTGTTGTGTTATACTTTGCTATTGCGCAATTCTTAGTAAATCTGTTTACAAACTAAATATGATAATTTACACACCCTGTTTGGTGTGTATCTCCTGCCATATCAGTCTTTGTTGTTTCTTTATATAGATCAGAAATAATTTATGTTAGAACCAGCTTAGCCAGTATTAGAAAAGTCTTGTTTTTGGCCCCTATTTGTCCTCTAGTTTCTGAACGATTAAAGCCACAACCCACAAAATCGACCCCAACCTTCTGTGTGTGGTATGAAACCTTGTGGTACAATTTCATAGATATCCATTGACTTATACTTACGTATTTGTCAGGAAACCAGAAAAACCTTGTTCCTCTCCATCCCCCGCCCCTTTTGCCCCTTTTTCCTGAACGGTTTGAGCCATAACCCCCAAAGTCAAACCCAACCGTCCCTTTGTGGTATGGAACCTTGTGTTTCAATTTCATAGAGATCCATAGACTAATACTTAAGTAATTGTCCATTTACCAGAAAAAACCTTGCCCCCCCCCCCTTTTTTGTCCCTAATTCCTGAACGGTTTGGGCCATAACCCCCAAAGTCAATCCCATCCTTCCCTATGTGGTATGGAACCTTGTGGTACAATTTTATAGAGATCCATACACTTATTCACAAGTTATTGTCCGGAAACTAGAAAAATGCCTTTTTTGGCCCCTTTTTGACCCCTAATTCCTAAACAGTTGGGACCATGACCCCCAAAATCAATCCTTCCTTTTGTGCTATTGAACCTTGGTTAAGTTTCATAGAGATCCATTTACTTATACTAAAGTTATTGTCCGGAAACCAAATGTCTTCGGACGACGACGACGCGACGACATGATAGCAATATACGAATGCAATTTTTTTGCGGTCGTATATATTATGACGAGAGTTCGGGCGACCAAGATATTAATCTGTTGAATTATTCATCTCATGAATATTCATTAGTAATGTGTATACTAATCTCAGTGTGTAATTAACAATTCTCAGTGTATGTTTTTCAATTTATTTCATCTCAGTGTGTCTTTTTTAAAATCTCAGTGTGTAATTTTAAATTCTCAGTGTGTGTTTTTCGTTTTTTTTTAAATCTCAGTGTGTAATTTCGATTTCTTGTAGTGATAATTAAGGTTTTTAAATCCCAGTGTGTTTTTTTTTAAATTCTCAGTGTTTAATTTTTTCGAAAAAGGGTTTAAACATAGTTTTGACGAGAATGGCTTGCCATAGATTTTTGCCGAAATTACAAGCTTTGGACTTCGAAAATTTCGTGAAAATAACAGTTATACGGACTTTTTTTTCTAAACGCCTTCAAATATTGGGCTAATGTTTAGTATGTGAGTCTACTATGATAAATTACAAAATGAGTTTACGTTTGGTTCCGCTCCGCTGATTTTTGCCGAAATTACGGGGTTTGGACTTAAAAAATTTGCGAGCGAGGCCATTCGTGTCGTTCCAACACATCTAGTCTTATATGTTTTAGCTTTACAGTTTATTGCTGCCTCTCACAATTCAAAATGTATGCTCAAATTTTTGTAATGCTCTCGGGTGATCCAGAATACATTTCAAACTGTAGTCACACTAAATATCGCGATAACTTTACCTTTATATTATAGATATATATGTGTTATTGCATTTAGATCTCTGCAACCTTCAATATTTTAGGAATTTGACAATGAGTTGGCGGGAACTATGGACAGTACTTATTGGGTTGGATCCTCCTGTACAATATTTTCCTCCGGCAGTGGCATCAATTATTTTATTTATCATAATTTTCGCTACCTGTTTCTGCATGCATCGATTTTCAGAAAGTTTTCCACCGACATTAAAAATACTTACCCAAGATTTCTTCAAAACTTTGCCTTTGTGTACGTATCCGTTTGGTCTGATGATTTTACGGAAATACCATGGGGATATCGGTTTTGCTCTTTGCAACATACCTCTTAACACCGCTACAGCTTTACTGCTATCATCAGGTGAAGGGTCGCCCGTCGGTAATTGGTTACTTTTTGTGAAGGGATCGCAATCATTACAACAATGTATTATTAGAATGGTTACCCAAATCGGGGCGGGCATTGCAGGATTTAGAGTTGGTAAAACATTAATGAAATTAGATTTACATCCAGCATTTGAGGAAAATCTGAGTCAAACAGAATGTATTGCTGCGTTAAATGTTGCAGTTACAACAGGATTTATTATAGAACTTTTTGGAACAACTTGGGATGTATGGTTTCATTCACAGAAATTTTCAGACAATCGTGTGTTGGATAAGTTCTTGAAATTTTGTAATTCGTCTTTAACATCTTGCTTAGGTATGTATGGTACGCTTTTTAACATTTACATACACACGTATATAGAGTGATGATATATACTCGTCAACCAGACAAGGCAACAACACAAAAACTTTGAAAAAAGACACATATGTCACAATAAAATCTTTACATGTATATTATATGATGGGCTGTAAATCGCATGAGATTAGACTCTAAAAGATAAACTGTTTGATCCAAATAATGAATATTAACTAAAAATCTCAATGAATGGGATACATTTGATAAAACTGTTCATTTTCCAAAAATTTAATCTGCTCAACATAAATATGCACAAATTTGTAGGTCTTTGAATTAATTTTTTTTTACAAATTCTTTTTATTTACATATTTTCAACATCTTTTTTTTTAATTTTTTCATTTAAATATTTTTAAAATCGGCGTCTATATCAAACTGGCCTGTGAAATAGTTTTATTTTTAAACTATTGTAGGACGAAAAAAAACCATATTAAAATACAATGTATTTATAATGTGACGGAGACTCGTGCGACAATATATATATATACATACCTCGGTGTGACAATATATACATATACATACCTCGGTGTGACAATATATACATATACATACCTCGGTGTGACAATATATACATATACATACCTCGGTGTGACAATATATACATATACATACCTCGGTGTGACAATATATACATATACATACCTCGGTGTGACAATATATACATATACATACCTCTGTGTGACAATATATACATATACATACCTCGGTGTGACAATATATACATATACATGTACAGACCGTACTTTGACCTATAATGGTTTTCTTTTATAAATTTTGACTTGGATGGAGAGTTGTCTCATTGGCACTTATACCACATCTTCTTATATCAATATACATACCTCGGTGAGACAATATACATACCTCGGTGCGATTACGTGAAAGTATATATACTTAAAATATAGACTTAGCAAAAAATCAAGATATTTTAAGATTAGCAGAAGAGGAGGACGCATTTTGGGGTTATTTCAAACAATTGTTATGAATGCAAATTAATAGACTTCAGTTTTCAGATGCCAGAACCCACTAGCTGAATGTTCTTTTTTTCAGACCAGAAAAGTTAATGCAAAAAACTCAGAAATTTGAAAAGAAAGATGTTGATTTTTCGTATACATTATGCGGTACAGAACACCTGAGGGAGTTTTAAACTCTTTAAAAATCAGTTTTTATCACATACTATAAGTAAAGAGAATTCAAGCTTCACAATGATCAAAATTAGTGTTTTTCAAATTGCTACATATCCAATGAAATTATTCCTGTAAATTGTGTGGTTCAAATTTTTGTCAACATATCAAAGTAAATATTGTGACAAAATTTCATGAAAATAAAACGAAACAAATCTATTTAAGTCAAAGTGTTTGGCTTAAGATATATATCATTTTCTCGAAGCATACATGTAAAAATAAATTTAAGTACCGGAATCACGCTATGTCAATATTCAATTACGATATACTAAATGTATTTCCCCTTCGTTACAGGTGGTTACCCTACTGGCATGTTCAGGAACCCAGCAAAAGCGATTGGCCTAACATTTGGGTGTAAAGGAATAAGTCCAAGTCAACATATATTTGTTTACTTCTTAGCGCCATTAATTGGAAGTTTTCTAGCATATAGGTTAATGTTAAGCAGTACTGTTAAAGAAGGAAAAAAGATTAAATCAGAGACAAACAAATTTATTCATAAAAATAGAGCTTATAACAAGAAGTAACAGATTCTATAAAGAAAACTGAATAAAGAATTCATATGTTACGAGTCAAGTTTTTATCCTACAATGATCGCCCTTTGTACAAATAAAAACTATACAGTGCCATAAAAAGAAATAGTAATATGTGGATGAATGTTAAAAACTAATTGTTTACTATGGAAATTTCAGTTATTTGTGACCAGCTTTCTTTCTTTATATTTAAGAAAATTCAGCCTTTGGTGTAAACATCCAAAAATAATCTAGACACTAAATTAGAGGCCATAAGGAGGCTGAATATCTCACCCGGATATAAGCATATATATAGTTACTATAGTTTTTGAGAAATTCGGGAAAAATAACCAAGAAAACTTGCCAAAAATCATAATTGGAGGGCAAGAATTCCGTATGGAGTCATCTGATTAATTTGAAAGTAGGTAGATTTAGACATTCTGAGCATTTGATATTTGCCAAATTTAGTCTTATACTATTTCTTTGGTTTTCAAAATGTAAGTCAATTTCTGCATTTTACCCTAATGTTCTATTGTTAGCCATGTTCGCCATGTGAGTTGACTTACTGGAAAAAGCCCCAATTTTATACAAGACACTAAAATGACCATTAAACCCAGGTTTTGTTGATATTTGATAATCAGTTTCAGAGGAGATCTTTTAAAACGTTGACGACAGACGACGGACAACGACAGATGCTAAGTGATGGCCCTGTATATAAGTTCAGTAGTTTCAGAGAAGAATTTCTTTGAAAAAGTATGAAAAGTTGACAACGAAGGACGCTAAGTAATGGCACTGTATATTGCTTCAATATTTTCAGAGGAGAGGATCTTTAAAAAAATTCGAAAAAGTTAACGACGGGAAGATGGCCAATAACGGACACCAATTGATGAAAAAAGCTCACGTGCTATTTTGGCATGGTGATCTATACATCGGTTAAATATTCATTAAAACAATAACTTCTATAATAGTCGTCTGAAAATGTTGGTGAAAATGGACATTAGATATATCTTAACATTCGTTACCTGTTAGACTTTCTCCATCTATAACGGGTTTCAAGATAAAAGACATAGTTTGAACTTTACCCCTGTGTTCCATTTTTAGCCACGACGATCTTGTTTTCTGAATATGCTTGCTGTTTTCAGTTTTTATATTACTATTATACTTTTCGAGATAGAAGCAAAAGCATTAAATTAGTCAAAATTGTCGTTTACAGGCAATTACTCCTTAAGTAATCATCTGATAATGTTGGTGAAGTAGGAAGACTTGACATTCAGAGCATTTTCTGCCCCTGTCATATTTCTCTTATCTACTATTGGTTTCAAGATATAGGACACTTACTGCATTTTATCCTTATGTTAAATTTTTAGCCATGGCAGTCATAGTTGTTGAATGACCGAAAAAAAACCCAGTAATTTACCTTAAACCCATAGGATCATTCACCAAAAGTTTGGTTGAAATTGGTTCATTAGTTGAAGATCTTTGGAAAAGTTTACGATGGACGACAGACGCCTAAATTAATGATGACAAAAGCTCAGACGGCCTTTGAGGCCAGGCCACCTATGTATAATGTCCATGAATATTATCGATAAGAACTTGGAACCGTAATTGTAATTGTAAGCGAAATATTAAACAGAAACTGAAATTATCCAAGTTTTCATAGTTAACAGCTTGAATAAACCAAAAAGTCCACTTTTGCTTTGTGGTGTCAAACAATTTCTATTATGACGTCAAATTTTATAAGAATGTCTGTGAAGTCCTGCGATGGTGGATAGATAGAAACAATGTAAGGTGTATACAGCGAAAAAAGTAACTGATTTAAAAAAAATACAAATAACTGGAATTTGTCATTGAGGAATCGCCGTACAGGGAGAACAATAAAGACATCGCATGTTTTGTCCATAAAAAAGTAAGTTCGATAAGGCCTTAATATGGCCCCTATTTACAGCTAAAATTTACAATTAGGATTCATTGACCAATATCATAAAGAACCATAGCTAAAAATATGAGTAGATAGGAACATATGTTCTTTAGAAAACTCGCGAATTAGTGTTCTTTTAAGACGTCACAAAGTTTCCCACAAAACTCAATGAAAACAACAATTTTCAATGATTTTCAGGACTAGAAAAAAGATTGCATGCGTCGACAAAAAGATTTTTTGACATAATGTTTGTCATAACTTACATATATGACTTGAATATTTAAATTGTCGAAGCCTGATCTCTACGTTTCCTAGGACTAAATTTGGTTGAAATCTAAACAATGTTGTCAACTTTCAACAAAATCTCTGTTTTTGTTGGCCCATTTTTATATGAATGTCAAAGCTTTATAGGAAAACATTTACTTGGTCACTATTCTACAAATATTGATTAAATAGCGCACTTAGATCACCATAAAAACTGAAAAAATATTAATTAGATTATTTACAACTATAAGTTCCACATATTGAGATAAATGGTTTGATAAATTCGTTACAAAGTGTACTGATGACCTAATTGTTGAAGGTCGTACTGTTGGCTATAATTGCTAAAATTGGACAGCCACTTCATTTGAACTTTGGTGGATAGTTGTCTAATTGGCAATCATACTATATCTCCTTATTTTTTATATAATACGATATGTATACGGTGTCAGTAAATTACATATGGGGCTCTAGCTTCGTTTCGCTATCGCATGTTTTGGCTGTTTAGACTTTAACGTTTCAACTTACTTTACTACCTTGACATAACAGTTGTATACCTTGCACGGCTGTGATTTAATGCATTTGTAAACAGACCATGTGCCATATTTTTTATTTGATTTTGTTTAACGATAAAACCATATTGCTGTTTTCAAAGGAAAAGTACATGAACAATTCTTTAAACATATATTGTTTACCTTGTTTGGTTGATGACAATCCCACAACTTTTATGTCAAGTAACAATAGACAGACGATGTCAATTGTTCACATTGTTTTGTTTGACATTTATTTCAAGCAACAGTAGACAGATGATGTTACAAATTGTACACCTTGTTTTGTTTGAAGTTTATGCCAACGAACAGTAGACAGACGATGTTACAAAATACAACACACAGCTCCATGCATTGAAATAAATAAATCTAACAGACCTCAAAGCATTATAAAGGAAACTGAAGCAAAAGATTGTGCAACACGGACCTAACCAAAATTCGAGGGTGACAATAGATTGGTTAAGAGTTTATGTTCCGCTAGTGATACGTGTCGTGGAAACAACTTAATGACTTAACAAACGAAAAGACAACCGAATCCATTAGACCATACACAAAGAACTAAGAGAACAAGAAAAGGGAGAAGTAAAACAATAAATAAATAAGCATCATATATAATATGTAGATATTTTTTTTATTTTAAGTTCAGTGGAATACATGAGAGCAGCATAATCACCACATACCGATTTGTAGCTTTCTAATAATTCTCTAAATTTTAATATTAAAATAAGAAGATGTGATATGAATTCCGCTGAGACAGCTGTCCACCAGACCCTTTTAATGTTGGTTCGTTCGCTATCTGTTTCAATATCAGCTGCACACTTAATAATATAGAAAGGTACACATATCAGGTATATTGTTTTCTTTATTTTGAAAAGAGCCTCGATGCAGAGTGGTATAAATAGTTCAATCTACTGTATCACTAGCCTGTCAACACTGAGGTTGTGATTTCGAGTTCGCACCCCGCACGTGGGATACCAGTTTAAATTTCCTGCCGAAGGTCGATAGTTCTCTCATGGCACTCCTGCTTTCTCCACCAATTAAATCATGCCGCCATGAAAGAGTCAATAGTTCTGGAAGTGGCATTAATCCCCACTAATCAATCGACCAATTAATCTATCAATCAATCTTTGTTTTATTAAGTCAATTTCAGAGATTTATTTTTTGGTAAAAGCAAACAGGAATATACAAAATATGATCTGTTACTCAAAACCCATTTTTATCACTTTGAACATATGAAATCTGCAGGTTAAGATTTTTCAACATATGGAAAATATCGGCCTAGGTTGAATGTTTTCTGTTATTAGATAGAATTGTTAGAACTTTTCTCTTTGGTTTTACTATGATTTTATACAATGTTAATATGTTTTTAATACTAGTAATATTTATTGAACTTTCTTCAATAGATTAAAAGATAACATTGCAATTTAAGTATGTTTCAGTTGAATCCAACATGCCAAAGATGGATATAAGATAAAGAATAATTTATAACGGCCTGTTTACTGTAACAAGACCATTATAGCCTCGTTTTAATTATGTTGTCGTCCTTTTTGACACTAAGTTTGAAAATGACGCTTACTTATTTATTTTTTAATTTAATTGCCAATGACAGTTTTTTTGGGGGGAGTGTGAAGATATGGACGTGTCGTTTAAGGTCAGGGCTATGTCACAGATTTTGTTTAATTTTGCCTACAGTTTTAGCTCGTTGAACTATAACTGAAAATCGGAAAAAAAAACGAAATGGGAAGGATGTTATTATTATGTTTTTAAAAGTATTTGGCGGAAAACTTTTAAAAAACAGCAAGTGAGATAATAGTTATTTAACCTGAAAATTGAACCTGCAAGGTGTTTCCCTATATGCGGACAAATCATGAACAATCTCTTCTTGTATCTTGATTTTTAATTTGAATCTTTGTTTTTTTACATTTTTCGTTATATTATAAATCAATTATACATCAGTTACTCTTCCGATTTTCAAACTAAAAAGGACGAAAGTTTTCAAAAGAGACAACGTTATTTTGTATACGAACAGAAGGCAAAAACATGTACAATTCTCCTATATGCGGACAAATAGTTGATGAGACTTTGGAATTGACATATTTGCATTTTTATTTTAGGGACATGCATATACCAATTGGCTGTTCTCATGATAAGGCAATATGGCCGCTTTGCAAATAAGCCAATTACCCCAAATTTTGCGATATGCTACTTTTTTTTAAGCATTTGTATTATATGTGATTTACAGATTATAACATGTCCCTTTCCATGGGCTAATATGGGAGTCTCGGGATGGAAAAGGACATGTTATAATCTATAAGTAATCAATCTATAATAAT